TAGTACGATGAGAAGAATAGGAAAAATGGTGAAAGGATGCACTCAAGGAGAAATGCATATGTGGAGAGAAGGACATGATGGCTTACGTATCCGCAAGCACGATTCTAGTCCGACTGGCGTTTTCAATGGTGAATCGAGTGCGACCGTCCTTACCCGCGATGCGACCGATAGCACGACTCAGATGATCGCCAGTTAAGGTTTTGACGTCCTTAATCTCGAAGGACTCGATATAAATCTCTTCCAATCTGAGGAGTGCCAATGCGTCCTCAACAGCGAATCCGAGGTTAAAGCATTGAAGGAAGTTGACAGCCTTGGTGATCGTGGATGAGGCCGGTGAAAGAGTGTGTTTAGAACTCTTGAGCTCTACCCTCCGCGATCCCACATTCATTCTGACCATCAAGCCTAGCTCTTCTACCAGAGGCGTATAGATTTGCGGCCAGGATTTCTTCAGAGGTGTCAGGCGCTGAGGAGAGATGGTGACCTGAAAGCGAAACAACAAATGTCAACCTCGGTTCAGGAAACAAGAGCCTCTGCTTGATTTTTTGCATCTTTTGTATCTATGACTGAATATTCAACGTTTGTTAACCTTAGCCGTTTGAGTGAGTCCCTTTGAAGAGCCTTGTTCTTTTACTGGGCCGAAATCAAGTAAGCCTTCAGTTTGGCTATTGGTCTTGTTGTTCGGCTGAGGAGAGCTTGGTCCAGCTAGGGCGGATATCGGCTTCAGATCGATCATCACCGCATCTTCATCGTTCGATCCAACCTGTCCGCTCATCTTGAAGGGAGAAGGTAAACTTGATGTGGGTTATCCTTGCTATTTCGTTTCTTGGTGAGACTGGGATGGTGCCTTGTGGGTGGAGTGGTGGTCAGACTTAGCTCAGCACCCCGGCTGCGGCCCGCGGTCGAGGCTCCTGCTCCGCGCGGGTCGCACACGTAGCGATACCATTTGATTGGAACATGTAAACTTAACTTAACTTCCCCCCCTTTAGTTTGCCCGCCTAGACTCTACTCTAGACATTGTTTTGTGTGTCAGTCCCAATCCGCAAATAGTTACAAAGACATGCCAGCCAGTCATGCTAGAGCCTGGAGCTGATCCGCATCACAAAAGGAAGCGAGACAAATTTGGATGTGGAAGGCGCTCCTGCTAAATTGCCCATCCGAAGTTGAACCCCAGCTTGTAGAACACGGGCTCCCAGTCCCTGGTTCCCGATCGGCATTTCACCTACGGTTCGGAGACGCGGTCAGGCTCTCCCGCTCCATGACAAGGACTTCAGGCTGAATGATGACTCGGGCTCAAGCTAGAATGAGCAAGTCCCTGACGGTGGACACGGCCTTTGATCGCCTGCACTAATCAGCTTCACAGAGGCGCACAGTCTTCTCTTTCGAGTCACGCCGGTTTGGTGCGTATCCGTGAGCACAGGATGCGATCTGGCTTCCGAAAAACCAGAGGGAGCGAAGCTGAGATCACACCATGAATTGCGCGGCTGTAAGGCCACATGGAGCGGTGCGAACGGCTACTCCTGGTGAAGGAAATGCCTCCCGCCAATCGAAAACATTCTCTTTTTTGTCCTACGACTGTCGAAAGAAGCAGAGCATGCTTCTTAGCTCAATCCCGGAAGGATAGTTGTGCACCTAGAGATGTTACCCACAGGGAAACTATCTCTCATTACCTCGGGCATTAGGCTATCAGCGCCCTCAGGGCCTCTTGCAGCTAGAAAGGGAAACCCGTGTCCCCTAGATGAGCCGGCTAGAGATACGTGAATCAAATCGGTCTGCAAGAAGGACTTCGCGAAAGGTCCCTCCTCGTATTGATCATCCATATTAAAGCAGGCCCGAGTAGCCATTGACTGTAACTCCATCCCATCATCAGTTGCCATTTGGATTTACTCCCTTTCCCTACATAATATAATCAATCCCACTCGCTCCAGTCAATTCATCTTTTGCACCAATCGCATCCCAATATCATCTTCGGAACAGTTCTTCTTCTGGTTAAATAGTACAATTCCGAATCAGTTCTTTCATCACCCTCACAACCATCCAGCACCCACAATCGTATCACTTCTCCCAAGATGAAATTCCTTATCTTTGCATTAGCCGCTACGGCTCTTCCGGTCATCAACGCGGCATCCAACTTCAAGAGCACCTGTAGCACCGTTAACAACCAGATGGCTACGTTAACTGGATCCTTAGCCCAGCTCAAGGCTACGGCTGACAAATTAGGGTAAGTATTCTGCGCAATCTCAATAATCATTTCTCGAGTCTCAAGCTTACTTTTATCATCCTCTGTTGTGCAGCCATTATCACATCTCTAGCAGATGTGACGAGGCCAGCCAGCACCTTGGCTATGCTAAGTCATCGTGGGGTGGAATTAGCTCAGGTTATGGCTCGTTCCCCTGGCAAGCCAGGGATTCATCGCATGCCAGTCGGGTCCAGTCTCGCATGTCCTCTTGTGGATCTTCTCTGGATTGGATTTACAGCCAACCTGAGGTTTCTCGATACTCAGACTACCGAACCCCAGTCCAGAACTGTCGAGTGAGTTATTTAGACATTTCCTTGATCGCGTTTCTTATTGTTTAACCCAGGTGCATTGTTTTTTCTGCCGACATTTAGCGCACGTATAACTCTTGTCAAACCGGATGCACTCAAATCTGGAACTGGCCATCACCTCCAGGTTACAAGCCCAGACCTAGTCAACAAGCTGGCTACCGTCGTCATCGTCGTGACACTGACGAGAAAGTTTGCCGTGAGTTCCGCATATTGCATATCGCGTCTCTACCCTGACCAGGAAGCTCATCGTAAAATGTATCATTGATCCCAACTGCCCAGCCAACACTCAAGAGACAGCCTGTCCCATCAGCGCTAACGCCACTGGATTCGAATGTGTTGACGTAAGCAGCAAACATCACATTTCGCATGTCTATCCTGACTGACGCCTTTGTGCCCTTAGACTCAAACCGAAATCACCTCCTGCGGAGGATGTGAGTCTTTGAACGAAGGTGAAAACTGTCTGACCATTGAAGGAGCTGACGAAGTTGGATGTGAACTCGGTGAATGTGTAAGTAGCCATTCTTCGCTTTCGCCCTTTTCTCATTGATCAACCCATACTAATGACACCATTCTTTCCCTCATCGCAGCGTGTTTTCTCAGCGCTCCCCGGCTTTGAAATCAATAAGGAGAATGGTCGCCCCACTCCTGTTGATGTGCCAGACTGGGAATAAAGATCTCACGCGCCGTGACTTGATTGAAGCTAGCCCTACTGACTTGCACGTTCTCCAGCTAGATTGATCCATGTTCATCATATTTACTGCTACATGTATCACACCTTAATTACCTTATTAATTCGTATTCTTATTTATCATTATCTTATTTACTGTTAACACGTCCTACCATCATGACCTGAAGACTTTTTACGTTTCTTAACATGAACAATGCCACCTTGTTTCGTCTTGGACTTTGATCTCGATCTTCCAATTTCCCCAGAGTCACCCTTTGCCAAATGCCCGTTGACCCCAATGGATTTGCGATCCAATTGCATGTTACACTAGCTTGTGATGCATACTGCATACAAGCACCTCTTGGGTTGAGCTTAATTGATCGCACACGATGACCTTTTGCGCGCTTGCTGAGACACAAAACTGATTCCTTGAAGATCACCACAATCAGTGTTGACCCCTTTCAAAGCTTCAAGTTTCTGCCAAAGTGAAGATCAGTGCTTTTGACATGCTGAAGCACCGAGATTCGACGAAAGTGAGTGTGAGCTCCTCCTAGGAGACATATTTTATGGGTTGACTGCTTCCCAATTCAAATAAAATGATAAGTTTGGGTGTGGCTTTGGTTTCATATTACTCACCAGAAATTTGCCAAGTGTAGTGGGAAGGAAGAGCAACATGTCTAACATTGTATGTCCACTAGATTTATTAGCAAGCAACTGTCTTCTTAAGTTTTTTTTTTTTTAATTTTGTACCAAAGTAAGATACCAATCACCAAAATCTGATGTGGCTTGAAATCTCTGGAAAATAGCCCCTTCCCTTCCTATCCAAAATGACCTGTTAGATATATCAGATAGGCTGGCAGTTGTGAAACCAGAATTATTGCCTTCAACAGCTTTGGCTGCCATCACAATGGATTTGAGCTCAAATAAAGCCTCTGGAATTGATCAATCAGAAGCAGTTCAGAAAAAGGTTGAAAGGCCTTATCTGTCATATATTACAAGTGATCAAGTTGCTATGTTGTAGAGCTTTGTAGAGCTGAATTGGTTGTTTGGACCTCAATTTATTAATAATCTAGTAAGTTGTGTTGCACATGATAAAAAGAACTTGCTGATAGAGCCATTAAATTTCTGAATCTAAGCTTCTTAGATCCCTCAGATTTTAGCAAATTCATTTTTTTGGTTGTTCTGATTCCTTGAATATCCAAACAAATGAAAAAAATACAATCCAAGTGATTTGATGTATTTTCTGTTGATCCTCTATTAGTGGTATTCAGAGTTGAGTGCAAATTCCTTGCATATGATCAAGTTTTGAAAGTGGATCTGCACAAATCAGTGTGGATTTTTAGTTGCCAGTATTAATTGCAAGGTTATATGTGACCAGTAGAAATCCATTTTGGAACCTAATCATGCATGGTCTTTGGTTCAAAGTGACTTGCAAACATTTTTGCAAGTCACTTGCACTCAACTCTGAAACCCCCTATTATCTGATGGCAATTTGTATCTTCACACAGTGAAGCTTCTGTTAATAGATAAGCAATCCATAAACCCTTCATAACAACAGCTTCTTGTTAGAACACACAACAGACAAGTCTAATGTGAAAAGGTTAAGGACACCTGATATTGAATAGGAATATAAGAAGACAACTCAAGATCAACATGAGAATGATAGAAAGGAAGTGGAAGAAAGAGAAATGTGGCCTAGGCATACCTGTGGGAAATGGAGGTGAGACAAATGATAATAAGTTGATTGATGATTAAATTGAAACAAAGATAAGAAGAAAATACGACTATAGACAAAAGACTATGATGTATAAAGTTCTATGATTGTAGGTTTCACTATAGATTATCACCTGTTCCACAGCATTTGGCCCGGTGGTCTGCCAGGGTGGGCCTCATTTCAATATCCAAGAGCCTTGTTAGTCTGGCAGACATCATAGGGAGTACAATAGTTTCCATGGTGACAGTCTTAAAGAATCTCCAGAATCAACTCAGGTCTCAACAAATCAAATTTTTGATGGCAACATTTTGCTTTTTTTTGTGTAAAAACAATTGGTGTCAGATGGAGGATGCATGTAGATGCTTGGATTATGGGACAGGAGTGACACACTTCATGCCAGTGGCTGCCACCTCTGAAATTGACATATTGGAACCAGATAGACAGGCAACTAGTTCTGGGCTGCAGATCTGGTATCTCAGGGTTCATCCTGATACTCTCAAGTATAACATCCACTGAAAGGACCAAAAAAAGGATTTGACTTAATGCTTCAGCTGGGATGTTCATGAATGGCACTCCTTAGTGAAACTTGGATCCCATGCATTCTTGAGAGCTGATGAGTGACAACCATCCTCTGTTGATCATAACCACTGGTTTTTGATTGATGGCCTTGCCTTACCACTCAGATCTCCTTTTGATTCCAAATCAATATTCTCAAACATTTTCTCCACTCAAAGCACCAGAGAGTTTTTGTGTATCTTAATTTTTACAATCATTCTTCTGAATGCTTCCAGTTTCATCTCCTTTTCCCCCTCATTTTTCCCCATCCATTTCGTTCTCAATAAAATCTTCATCTTCTCTTTCATGTAATCACATGACATGCTCTCAACTTGCACATTAAGTCTCCTCAACCCTCATTGTTCTACCCCATCAAAGAAAATAAAGGTGCCCCCAAATTAATAGAGATTGGCTCAAACATTGGAGCCTTTCAATGTTCAATCATTTCAGTTGAGTGACTATGCAAACAAGTGATCAATTAATCAAACAATACAAGATACATGTTATAAGGAAGAAGCCAATTGGGATCTTACAAATCGAAGCTCTGAGAAATAAGAAAGAGAAGACAACAAAGTACAAGATTGTTGATGAAAAGAAAAGGGAAAAAAAAAATACATTCAAGCAAATTTCTTCAAGTCATCAGGATCAGGACCCATCGGTTCATCAGTAGCCGCGATATTACATTGCCAGAAAGCCCGATGTTGGTCAGGAGTGAAAGCGCCGACTACGCTATGCAAGACACCACGATTATGAAACAAACATCTGAATATATCATATAAGAAGCGGGGAAAGAAGAATCAATCTTCAAGTCCATGTGATCATAAGTAGTGCTAATGAAACCCAAGATGATGAAGAAAAAAAAAGGGGGGGAACTGACAGATCTCTCTCCTTCCAATCATGTGCATATACCAAGGAGGGTGAAATCCCAGGACGCTGAAGTTTGTATAACAGATCCCTGACGACTGCTAGGTCAGTAATCGTCCCACCATCAGGATATAACGCTTCTGGGTCTCGCGGTGTTTCTGCTGTCGCTGGGATCGGTTCAATGTGTAACTTTTCTGCACCACATGGATGGACTTCTAGATGGAGTTCACTAGTCACTGGGTTCTTCCAAAGCTGTTTTCCCCCCAATGATAGCACGTTAATCCAGTTACAAAAAACGGATCAATCGAGTGCGAAAAACAGAAAAAATCAGTACTGACTACAGGGAAAATCTTGATTTTTGATTCTTCAAACGGTGGCAACTGTTCTTTGGGAAGTTCTTTCCCATCGTTTTCTATTCCAAGTCCGGTCGATTTGGCTTTGGCTTGGGACATCCAAACATACTAGAAAGTCATTTGATCAGTCAGCATTTCTTATTCAATGGCATGTGTATCCGTTGTGAGCTTACTGGATGGGGACTATATTGCACTTTTGTGCGCACAGCCAAACTCTTTAACGCAGGCGGTAAGATGTCAAACATTTTCTTGCCGCTGACAACTGGTGAGTTTGTACGATCAATCAAATGTTAGCTATACAAACCAAGAAGTGAACCAAAAAATCATAACAAAGAAAACTTCTCTCTTACAGACAGTAGTTCCCAAAGGAACTTTCAGTTCGTCGCCCGTACCATCATCATAGCGGCAGATCTGTGGAGCACCCTGTGGAACGCGTAGTGCTTGTAAAGTGGTGACTTTGGGCGGATTCAAGTCGTATAAAGCAGCGTCGATGTGCCTTCTCAACAAGATTGAATTAAACAGGATTAGGATTTGCAGGGAGGTCTAGATTGATGAGAAACTGAGATGTAGCGCACCAGCGATAAAAACGGGTATGTCCCTTCTTCTCGTCCTCGTCTGAAATGACGTCTTTGTGGAAAGTTTTATGATGGGGATGTTTGAGTACAGGGAGAGGTTTGAGGCCAGGGGCCACAGCCTCGTCGATCACCTGGCCGTTGCCAATCAGTTGAACTTGTGGCTGACCGGGCAAAGTCTTGAGGTCGGGATGTAAGATACTACAGAGTGGTACGAAGAAAGAGATTTTCGTTCAAATACTGGATAAGGACCCCATGTAATTTGGAGGATGTAGAATAATTAAAACGGGACTCAACGATTTAGCTTGCAAACCAGATGTTTCAGTGCCATGCCTGTCAAGTCAAGAGCAATAAGTCAGTATAGAAGTACCGATTCCGCGTGTAAAATGATTTTAAGAATGGGTTGGAGGAACAAACCCATAAGACTTGGAAGTCAAATCGAATCTGTTGGTGAGCACAAACTGCTGTTCCGGATTCAAAGTCACGCCTCTCCAAAGTACGATAGAATGTTTATACAAAAGCTCTTCTAACTAAATAATAAACAATCTGTGAGTGACTTCGCCGAGAGTGAGTAAGATCCAGGAAACCAACCTCTTTGAATTCTCGATCGGACATCGTGATGGGATCAAACGTTCCATCCTTGTAAGAAGAGGGATCGACAACGACGCCGAATTCCGGAGGTATTTTGCAATCTGAAGGGGTGAGTTGTGAGAGCGGAGAAGTTTTGAGGGTCATGATTGACGATGATAGAGGATAATGGTCGCTGAGCTCAGGCGGAATGTATGCTGAAGACTGACCGAATCGGGAAGCTGGGACTGAATAGTTTTTTTGAGATGGAAGATGTTGGTTGAAGTCCGGTTGTCTGTGTCAAGTGGGAAGCAAAATGATTGACGAAGGTTTGTTTTTTTATATCTTGTTGACCGAATCTTAACACAGCACTGGATTTTGAAGGCCGAGGTGTGTATGACGTCAGATCACCCTGGGAATGGTGGTACTACTGATCGTGACTCTCGTGACAGCTCGTGACCAGTTAAGGAAAGACCCTGGAGCGCCTGATCAACTGGCAGTGCAGGTTACAACACTGCATGTACCTCACTTCACCAATTGGGCTGAAGACATGAGTGTGCAGACTCAGAGCTGGCACACATCAAGCCCATCGGATGGCTTGTGTACAAATGTCAAGGACGGTCAGCCTCGAAGGTCAAAGTCACAAAAAGAAAAAGACTCGTCTTGATTTATGGAACTTTGGATTCCATCTCTGAATTATGTATATCAAAACTTCCTTCTGAGAATACAATGTCAGGTTGAGCCATCTGGCATCACTCAACAGTGATCTCATGTTTCGGCTCGATCAAGACAGCTGGAAGACAAAGACAAGAGTGAAAGACGGATGTCCACCCCACTTCAGTTGATGGGTATGCAGAATCATATTATTCCACTAGATCTGCTATATTAACTTCTCCAAAGTTGGGAAGACATTTTTTTTTTTTGTGTATAACCTTTTTGATTCAGATTTTGGTTAATTAACCTAAAATCCAAACTCATTTGGCCAAAAAGAAAATGATAGGTTTCAAGCCAAAAACTTGTCCTGGAACTTTTTGTTATACGCCAGAAAGTTGAGCTAACCATTTGATTAACCAACTTTTTTCAAAAAAAAGTTTAAAGTTTGTGGTTCCCATGAACTTTTCTTGCACCCGTGGTGTAGATGATGGAGACTAGATGAAGTGCCTGGTCATCAAAGTGACTGATGAACTTATGGATTGATCATTGGCTGTATTTTTATGATGCTAAAGAAATCTATACAGATGGATCAAGATGAGATCTACACCACACTGCAAGTGGATAAAAAGTCTCAGGAGTTATAAGTCCTTTCAATACAATTACTCTTGATGTTATGTGCCTGGACGCTTAGCTGATCAACCAAATTGCCGAACCAATGTCAGATCGATTTGAATTAAGTTAAAAGAGAGAAAGAGAGAGGAGGAGTAGGAGGAGGAGTTGGTAGATAATTGGGGATAATTGGGGGTGGATAACTTACACCTTCATCGGCCCACCAGCCCACTCGGGGGATACAACAGTACGAACGTCGCGGATCTTTATTTTCAGTCGAACACCATTTGAAGACGTTCTTGTTGTTGTTGATATGGCTGGCCCTACCGACTTTTTTCAAAAACAACAAAAAAAAATGTCATAAACAAAAGAGAGAGAAAAAAAAGTAAGTTCTCGTGTTTTGTCAACTGAAATGTATCGACAAACAAAACAAAACAAAAAACAACTCTGTAGATATGACTCTTGGAAGGAAGGGAACAAAGGGCTTACTATTGGCAGCTTGGTCATGCCAATCAACACAAATCCCTACAGCCCGATCACTATCAGTCGAAGAACAGTAAAACGTCTCGGGTGTGAACCTTGGAGCGGGCTTGGGTGCTGCTGCTATTGTCGGTCGATTATTTGCAAGAAATAGGACGAGAATAGTAAGTTGAATGAGGATATTGTGACGGTGGATTGTAGGCATCATATTTGGTTTTATTTGACGATCGATGATCAGATTTTCCGGGAGCGTTAATCCTCAGACTTTCGAATCAGAGAGAACGACCAGGGTTACTTATTTACTTGAATCTGTGAAGCTTGGTCGGTTGATGTTATAATGGATTGGGATTCAGAGTATCAGCTGGAAGGACTTATCCAGGTGTTCTCAAATCTGTTTGATTAAAAGGGGGTGGTTACCAAATCAAATATGAAAGGGGACAGATGGATCTTTGTTGTCTCCGACCGCTTCAAGAGACTTGGAAGCTCTTGGAAGTTGTCTGTGTGTACCTGGACGAGTTGGTCAAGGCTCCTGGAACCGCCCCCAGGGGCCGGTTTAAGGATCCAAAGAACTGGACTCCGGGCGGTCGTAATTCATGCAAGATACAACATGGAAGCGGGAAGGAAGAACGTTGTAGCCCGGAAGGGTACAAAATACTGGGTAAGGGTTCCTGGATTGATACAGCGCGTGGACCGCGTTGGTCGGCTGCTTGCTCGCAGGGGGGCTCACAGGGGAGACCTGGATGTGTATGGATGTGTTTCTCTTCCTCCCGGTTGGTCAAGAAGGATCTCGGCTGGTTAGACTTGCAAGGTGCTAGCGAGCAGCAAAGTCAACAGAGGCTCTGTCTCCGAGGGCCGACTGGACTAATATTGTGTAGGTTGACGGAGGACTTGAGAAAAAAGTTAATTCCCACGGGGGATGGGGGGGGGTATATAGGGCTCCAATTTCAAGTTTTAACGCCCCAATCGCAAAGTCGTGTCAAGTGACACTACTGCTGCTGCCTTCTGCCTGAGGAGGTCGATGTTATCTGAATTACAGTAGACTGGGCCTGGTTGAAGTTGAGGGTGATCCTGGCAACGCTCAGTGGGCACCCAGGCGTACATATCACATCGATCGCAGAAATGTAGCTGGACCGGAATTGAGCGATGGCAGGGCTGCTTGATTTGGAAGATTGCACACAGGAGGGTGTCATGCCTCTGCGGATCTACTGGGTGCTGGGAGCTCTCCTGCCAGCTGGGTACCACAAGCCCCAAGCGCTTATGACGGGCAACACAGTGATTACACGTTCTTCCAGGATTCCCCTGTTGCATTCCTGAACCCATGAGGATAAATCGATGGCCGAGGAAAATCAGGGCCCACACGAGCCCCAACCGGGCGAGTTTGTTATGAGACAGGATGATCAGTGGCATGGTCGGCTGCTTGCAATGCGATTCGATCTTTGGAGCTTGAAGTGTATGAGGGTTACACGCAATGGGCTGTTGGAGTGGACTGATCAGAGCTTTCCACTATGCCAGCAGGGCGATGAGGACAGCGGCGATCTGAGTGACTTGAAAAGGGGGTGTCAGTGTGGTTCAACTAGATCCGGTCAACAGCAAGTATGCCGGGCGGGTGTCTCCAAAAGGTCTATCAGAGTAGGCTTGGTCGGTGGGTGTGGATGCTGGAGTCTCCCGATTGAGCCCGTGGGGTGGTTGGTGGTCAAACGGGGTTGGTTGCTTGGATCTTCCCCTTTTTGAAGTGCCAGTTGACCAAAAACACACTCACAACCACCCAAGAAGAATGGACTGCTTCTTCAAAGACCCAAGACTACTCAAACAACAACAACAACAAAAGCAAACGACAACCCAACAGCAACAGCAACAGATCAGAATCAAAACACTACAAACAAACCAACAACCACTCCCAAAAAGAATCAAACTCAACCACCAACAACAGACAGCCACTGGCACAAACCAAACAACAACAACCACTAAGAAGACTATTCACAGTAAACCACAACTCAACAACACTCAGCAACCCGATCAACTCAGCAAGACTCGGGAAACGAAACCCTTAGTGAACCAGACAGAGGACAATCATCACAAGACCCAGGATATCAACAATAATAACAAGACCCAGGATATCAACCAGACTCAGGACATCAACAAGACTCAGGATATCAACAAGACTCAGGATATCAACACGACTCAGAATAATAACAAGACTCAGGATATCAAAAAGACTCAGGATATCAACAAAACTCAGAACAACAACAAGACTCAGGATAAACAACACCAAGATGATCAGAACCAGACGAAGAAGAACCCAACGACAAACCACCAGGACTACCAACTCCATCCGATCATCCCACGCTCCGTCGACAAGACCATCACCGCGTACTCATCCAACCATCCCCTGAATGTCGAGCCAGCCGAGCGCAAACTCACCAGCTCGGCCAAGCTGGTCAACGCCAACAGGAGCCAATTCAAGCCCTGGTTCACTAACCAGGACCCGCAGCGCTGGCCGTTCAAGAAAAACCAGGACCCCCAGATCAGAGTCGTCTATCCTACCGGCGCACACGAACTCTTCCCCTTACTGGTGCCCAAAAACGATTTGGATGAATATCGTCCTTTGGATGACCTTCTAAACGTATTCTTGGCTCCCCCTTTCTACCTCCTCATTACATTTTTTGTTGTTGATGATTTTCGTTTATGTAGGTCATTACTACCACACTTACCTACTACCTCACACCCGACCAGTCGCTGCATTTCTTCTCCGAGCCACATCCTATCACTTCCCCCTCCGCATCCGTCCCACACAGCCAACTGAACGACTTCAGCTTCCTAAACCGACGTTCGCAGGAGCGGTCCTCGCCGGAGCCCGGACGATCGACGACGCCCAAGATCCCGCTCTCGGACGCATCGTTAGATCTGAGCTCGAAGCCGCTCTTGAAAGAGCTTGCGAAGACGATCCGACGGAAGAACGGGCCGGAGTTTCTGGGGCTGGTTGGCTGGTACAATCGGGTGATCAAGTATCTGGTCGAAGGGAAAGAGATCGGCCGACAGATCGGCTCGTTTGTGGGGATGCCGCAGGGAGTCTGGGAGACGATTTTAGGCCAAGCGTATGACCGCCAGGTGGGGCCCCAATTGGAGCTCTTACAGGGCTACGAGACCTGGAGCAGTAATGTGTATGGCGAGCTCAAGCCCCGGTTCGTCTCGGAGATCATCCGGCTCGTCGGCCTAAGACCCGGCATGGTCTTCCTCGACCTCGGCTCCGGAATCGGTAACATCGTCCTCCAGGTCGCCCTCGAGGTCGGCTGCGTCGCCGTCGGCTTCGAAATCATGGACGGCTGCGCCAAACTCGCTAACCTTCAACGCTCCGAACTCGTCGGTCGCGCTCACTCCCTATGGGGAGTTAACCTCGGCGCCCCTCTTCTCTTCCAGGCTGACTTCACTAAGGATCCCCGAGTGGGCCAATGGCTACAACAGTTAAGCCTCATCTTTTTTGTTCTCAATCTAAACCTTTTATTTTCACAATCAGATCGCTGATTGATATGTTCCCGGAACAACAGGGCGGATGTCGTACTAGTGAATAACCAAGTCTTCACCCCGAGTCTGAACGAATCGTTAAGTTTGCTGTTCCTGGAGCTGAAAGACACGGCCCAGATCGTCTCGCTGAAGCCGTTCATCTCGAGCTCCTTCAAGCTCAACCAACGCAACCTGGATTCCCCGTTAGCCATCCTCTCCCGACCCGCCCTCCGGCCTACTCCGCCCTCCACCCTCGTCGCTAACAGTCCTGGCGTCTTCAGCTATCCTTCTAATTCTGTCAGTTGGACTGATAACCCTGGCGACTTCTTCGTCTCCGTCGTCAATCGCGATAAGTTGATTCGCTTTCAAGAATCATGTCAGGCTTGAATCTTCCCCCCCCCCTCCCTGTCCTTGTCTTTTCTTTCAAACAACCTCAAATCAAATCATGGAATCTTTCTCTTTTTTTCTTTAATTATTGTTTTGTTTGTTGCCATCAATTCCTCCTCCTCCCCCCCCCCCCCCTCAAAAAAAAACACACACGCGCGCATCTTTTTTCTCTCCCCCTTCTAGTCCCTTTCTCTCTGTCATCAAACAATCCCCCTCCAGCATATATACATATAAAATTCCTTATCCAGAAAAAAAAAACAGAGAGAAGCTAATTAATTGGTTGAGTCTATCTGTGTATATAAAATGAACATGTTTTTAATATTATCAAGGAAAGTGATTTGTTGAGTGTTACAAAGTATGAATCAGGACTGAAAACTGAGAGCCAGCCAAGGGATTCAGACATCTGAAGTTTGGCCACGTGCTTAGTTTAAAGCATCAAAGATTGGCGGGAAACTGCCCTTTGGAAGCAAAATGCGTTGGTTAAACTTAACAAAAAGTGGTGCATCAACAAATGAACAAGGTATTGGTGGGACTTGAACCTCGGTAATTGTTCATATTTATTGTGGCCTGCCCGCCCAAAGAAATTGTTTAACAGGTAAGGCAAATTTCATTCCAGCCACTTTTTTTATTTCAACATGCCCAAGCTCATTTCTGAGTGCTACTAGGTTGGTTTCCATAATTGGTCATAGGTGCCAGAGTCGACAAGTGAATCAGAGAAGTGGAGTGTGATAAAGGGGGTTGCCAAATGGATGGCCAGCCTCAAGCCAAATGCAGGGCATTAAAGTAAATTTGTGTCTTTAGTCTCACTATCACCTTGCTATGATTATCATCAGTGTGGTTCATGATTGAGATTTCTAAAATTTTTTAGAGTCAATTTTAAGGCCTCTACCAACAACATTGTAAAAAAATTATGAGTTGGGCAGATTAGTTCGAGATGTCGCGAAATGGGTGTACACTGTACACCATCCTTGAAGGACCTCTCCCATGTCGCTCGGAGAGGTCCTTCAAGGAAGGTGTATGCTGACTCATTGGGTGTGAAGTTGTGAACCCCGCTAGAGTAAAAATCAGCAGAACACAAGTTGACGGGATCGTGCCAGCAGGATCGCTCTATTTCATGAACACCCTGTATTTGCCGGGTTTTTGAGGTTTCCAAGTCTTTCAGCTCTATTACCGTCCGTTCCAGATACCCGTATGGGAAGTGAAATGTTGACTTCAGTCGCCTATCTTTGTCCCCTCTCGGTTCATGGGTAGAAACCTCCATGTCGAAGCATACGCAACCGGAGAAGCATCACTGCCTATGACTACACGATTCCAGCATTGGGTTCAATCTTGTGCTTCAAGTTGCACCTACCTGAAGCATATTTATTTAAATTGGTACGTATTTACATAGCAGAATTTGTACTCCTGAGAACGAATGGACTTTGCGAGGGTGGGAGCTGAGGATTCAGGTGACAACGGTTGTTGGGCCACCGATAGGCCGCAACTCCCAAGGGAAAATGTATCTTTACTGGATTCCGCGGGTTGTGGATTAACAGTCCTACCACAAACAGGATTGTGTTCAATTTTCTTGAGTCTACATCAGTCACCCTGTTACCGGCTTACACGCCTACCCAAATTTGGAATTTGATAGACATACGATTAACAGCTAGCGGCAATCATGATTCATCCGTTGATTCAAGACAGAGGGAGCTTCCCTTTGTAGAGTTTAGGAGCCTCTTAAAACTTCTGAAAATGGATGCTCGCAGAAAGCTATTCTACCCCTTGTCATCTGTTCTGACTTTGGAGCACTAGAGCAGTCCCGCCACATAACATCCGAAGGTAAATCGCCCCAGACCATTTCGCGATCCGTTATACATAAATCAAAAATAATCATTCTCATATATAAATTTTTATTCGCTATTTATTTCCAACCTCTTCACCAGTTAATCTGAGAAACTGGTTACGTTCTTCACCTGTGATAATGTTGGACGCCTTCACGCGATATTCAAGATCAAAGTTGATCAGACGGGACTCAGGCTCATCAACCCATGGTAGTGGAACTCTCAAAGCACAACTAAGTCGACGAATCAGTTCTGATGAGCCGGGGAGGACATTGGAAAGCCCTGAACCTAGCATCGCTACCGGCAGTAGCGCTGGAAGCTTCTTATCCAGTCACAGCGGAGACAGTCAGCCAAGTGGGCCTTCCTTGAAGCAAACCTTGGTCAAATTTCGTCAACAGCGACTGCGCCCTCTGAGCATACTTGCCGGGAATCCAAAGCTCGTACGGAACCGCCGGCCTTCTCATTCTCGCGAGTCGGAAGAATCAACGGATTCTGGGCAGTTTCAAGTAGGAGCCATGGGTCGCATCCTATCAAGCGACGAACATAGCTCACACTTCATACCCAGAGCAGCGCTTGAACAGGGCGGCGATTATGTTATAGTCCATTCCGAATATGCGCAAGCCCTTCCAAACAATCTGCAACCCCACGCTTCGATGCCTGAGATTTCTTCGAACAAGAAACCGTGGAGCTACAATCTCGAAAGTCTACCGTGTGGGATACGCCCATCGGAGAAGTTAGTGGTCGAGGAAGAAAGTGACGGTTCGTTAGATGATGAGATGCTCGATACGCTATGTACGCTCCGTTATACGATTCAGCAGATAAAAGACCATCGAAGACAATCCCCAAAATCAAACCCACTTGTCAAATGTGACTCTTTACCAACGTTCGGCTTGACCTCAACCGGACATCAGAACTTGTTACGGACCCTTTCAGTACCTTCTCGGTTCATCGAGGACAAGGCGGCATCTTTCGACTTGATGAACGGCTCAGGTTTACCATACTGTTTAGTCTCGCCTGCACATCTTCTCAATCAGTTGCCATCAATACATGCAGGTAAGATCTCTGTTACCATTCAATTCTTTTCTCAGTATACTTAAACCTTGTCCAATCTTACAGGTAACCACTCGACACCAGCTTCTCGTGATTTACCAAATCCGGGAATGATTGAAAACGAAGACGAAGGCGACGACACTTCTTTTTGCACGTTGCCTGAAGAAGAACCTGACTACCAATCTGGCCCATATGTCCTTCCTATATGGCCAAATCTACCGTCTGCATTACAGCCAGCTTTTGATCCTAAGTGTTGAAATGATCTTGTGGCTATCGTCATGTCTACAAGCTATGCTTTGTTTGTATTTCATTCAAGGTCAAATAATTATCCTGCTGGCCAAGATGTGACCAGGGAATGCATGGTTATAAATAAGTAATAGTTTTTATGCAGAAGTAAAAATGACACTGTGGATTCAATGTTTGTTTATCATTGCTTTAGTAGTAATTGGATTGGGTTATCAAGGAGTAATAAAAAAAGTTAGCTACTAGAGAAATATTTGAAGTCCTTTTGGAGGAATTGGAAATCTATTAATGTGGGAATATTTTGGTTATTGGTTCACAGAAATCACTTCACATCCAAATAAAAGTTTTTTATGCATTGTTACCACCAGAAAAGAATGGGCTCTTGAATTCTGGAAGTTGGAAATGGTGCAAAAGACCCCTTGCTGATGGCTTGATAAACAGATACCCCTGTCTGTGGACACATCCATGCCCCTGCCCATTCTTTTGTGGGTGTAGGGAAAAAAACATGCCCAAGGAAGGGTGTATTTTCACATACAACCTTTGATCTAGTACACTTGCTAAACAAAAGGGTTTTCTGATGTCCAGTTCCTGTTTTCAAAATTAGAGCCAGCAAGGCTTCCCAAAAGGCTCCTCGAATCCTTATTTTCATGAATACATTAAGGGCCTTTATTGCTGCCCCTCATACATGTAAAACTTGTCTTCCTGTTGGTTGTATACTGTGAATTGACCATAATGAAAGGCTGCAAATCCTGTCATGTTGTTGCATGTTTTCTGTAACAGTGGTGGGCCAGTAAAATACACTACAATTCTGGGCCAAAATATTGCTGTGTATTGCTGCAACACTGCAAGAGCTAGACTGGCCAAAGCAGTAAGCAGAGCAAAATTGTAGCACATTTGATCCAATTTGCTAAGCTCATCAGAGTGTGTGTTGACTCTGCACTTTCTGCTTTTTGATTTATGAGTAAAAAAAAAAAAAATTTCTATGAGTAAAAAAAATCAAATATTTCAATGGTAAAAAGCAATAAGTTGCTACACTTTCCTCTCAATTATTGGCAGCATCAATATTGTAACAATTCATCTTTCAATCCTGTAGTGATGGTGTGAGAGCTTAAAAGTGAAAGCGAGTGTGAAACAGTACATTAGAAATAAAAAGACTGAAGGAGGCTATCATCCCAGGTTGAATCCCCTGCCCACTATAACTTCCTCCCAAAGTGAGTAAAATGCTACACTGTTGAAGCTTGCAACACTAAGAGTAACACAAAACAGTAGTGTAAGTGCGGTGTGAGAACTCCTTTGGGAATGGTGGCAGTCCTGTGAGGGGGAAATAGCAGATGAGATATATCACGTATGTAATGATCTACTACAACTGTTATGGCTGGTTTGAAAGACATGCCCCTCTATTGTACTATACAAGAGTTAACACAACAATTTATTGATTGTTGTGGCAAAAACTGATGATAGAGAAAACTGTGTGTAGCAGTCTCTTATCAAACCTAGATCAACATGGATTCAGCAGACTATTTAAGTGGATGTTTAATGGGAAAAGGGTTTGTGTGGGTACCTCAGTAGGTTTGGTTCAGTTGTTGAACCCTACTACTTATAAGAGAATGCTTTTATATATATTTATGTGCTTGAAATGATTGAGTTGTGTAATGATAGTGAATGTGACTGTCTGTTGTGCTACTGATGACTAATGTGACTATTCAAGGTGTTTCTCTCCTCCTCCTTTACCTGCTTGATAAGATCACTTTATCTTGTTGAGAGCACAATTTTGTGATGCTTGCTACTTTCCCTTTTATATGCTTCTCAAGGTATGAATGATTTAAATGGGACACTTGATTAAGATCACACTGGTTGATGTATGGATTGATTGCTCTCTCTGTCTGGTTCCTGATCAGATGAGATGTAATGAGATGATGGAATGAGATGATGAAAAATTGGAATGAGGGGGGAAAGCCCCTCCTTAAATAGTCTATTTTACAACCCGGCTGACTTGTGGCTCTAGCCCTAACCAATAATCTATAAATGGCCAACTTGTGGTTCTAGCCCTATACAAGATTCTCAGTGTACCTACAAACAATGTGGCTAACTTGTGGTTACCCTATGCAATGAATATTGAATATGTAAACAAACTAAGGCCAACTTATGGTTTACATTATGCATTAAGCATTTTTTATGCAAATAAAATTTAAATCCCAAATAACCTTTGACTGAGTGGAGCTAGCCTAGTGGTTCCCATGAGTGACTATGGGTTAGATGACCCGTAGAATGTGATTATGCCATAATACGCCTAATAATATATGCCCTTCTACATATTGAACTGTGACTTTATGCAATTTGATACTTGAAACACAATTGGCATACTACAGCGGCATAATATAGCATAATTCCCCCAAAATTGAGCATAATTCAGCAGAAGACGACTGCGTCCTTGCAAATGCTAGGCATGCAGGGTCCCAAAGTGTGCCTTCTAAACTGCACTAACATGTTTGTTAGCAGCATTTTGGCCCTTTAGAGAAGCATAGAATACAAGATTCTGCTAAAAATGTGCTAACACTACCAAATTTCCATACAAAAAAAGTGCCACTATGCTAACACCTTTTGGGAACAAAGTGCAGTGTAGCCTAGTGGTCCATTCTTTCAGCTGGTCCTTTGCTCAGGCAAAACCTAGTTGTTATCTGGTACTTCTATTGATAATGGATGTATAAGGTAGCAGTAAGCCACCTACACTAAGGCCCTGTTTGGCAGCGTCATAAATTCAAGTGTAATATTGCCTTATGAATTCAATATAAAATAAACCACTCAGAAATCTACATATAACTAAAAGAATGGCCTCAGAGGGCCAAACAAACCGTCAGGCTTGAATAGGCCTTTCTATTGATTTCTCATGCGGCTTCTAACGCCGGCGTCGATGTTGCACATTTCAATGTCATTTCCGACATTCGCTAAGACTTTACAATCGATGGCAACCTTCAAAAGCGAAGGCTATATTCACAATGACCTTCAAAAGCGAAGGCTATTACACCACAGGACCTTCAAACAAGTAAAACCCCCAACATCCGGGGCAAAAACACGCAGCCTCCCCAAATTTGGGGGCATATACTAGTATGTAATAAAATTTTAACTGGGGCAAGGTCAACTGCTGATTTCAATTTTAGTACAGGCAAAGTTGAGATAGTGGGATATGTTCAGCACCATAATACCAATATTACACTTTTTACCCATATAAAGGGTAATATCAATATTATGGGGCTCAAGATGGCCTAAGATATCAAGTTTGTTCTCAGAATTGATGAAACCAGTAATTGAACTTGCCTGAGTAACAATTTTGAAACATATTTCGCATTGGTTCATTTTTGATTGAATGTTATGAGCTGTGGAGGACTGGAACTGGGGACGTTACATATGTAGAGAGCCTGTTACGTACATGTCACGAACTTCGAACTTGGAGTTCGTTCAAGATCCGAACCTTGTACATTCCTCATCTTGCAATCTACCATCAAGACTCAGAACCCAGAAGATCCCTCACCTGCTCTCCTCAGAACACCCATAACATATTGCAAGATCAACTCACACGGAGACCAGGAACGAAACACCCAGAACACCACTCCTCAAACCTTGAAAATCAACTCAGAAAACTCTCCTCTCAAACCTTGAAAATCAACTCCCTTGAACCTTGTCTATCCTACCTCTCAACCTTGTTACTCACAGCCCTGCATCCCTCTTTACCTCTCACAGTACTCACAGGACCCCCAGGAGACCCTCAGGCCCCCCAGGAGTCGTTTGTTAGCGTTGGATCGTCGCGGATCGTTGATTTACATCGTTTTTGGTCGTTTGGATCGCTCGGAACGTCGTAGGACCCTCGGAGACCCCCACGCGCCCTCGGTTTCGCCTCGGAACGCTCGGAAACCGCTCCGGAACGCTCCTAGACCTCCCTGGAACCCCCCAGGCCCGCCGTTTACTTTTAGACGTCCTAGACGGACCGGATCGTCGTCGGACGCTTCAGAAAGAAGCCCCCGAGCCCCTAGACTCCCCAGGACCTCTCCATCCCATCGGAGAAGCCCTAGAGCGCAGCGAAGCGCCGCAAAGCACTCCAGAGCGCAGCGAAGCGCAACGACGCACCCCAGAGCCCCTAGAAGCCCACCAGAGCGCCTCAGGACGCCCCTGAGCCCTATCAGCGCCTCAGACAACCCCCTCAGCCCCCTCAGCCCCCCAGAGGCCCCCTAAAGACCCCAACCACCCCACAAAAGAGGAGTGGAACAGCCTGTGAGGAGCCCAGAACACCCCTTCCTATCCCGAAGGCGGACACCCAGACACCTAGAACCCCGTGAGAACCCCTGAACCCCCTGAAGCAACCCAAGACCCCCCTAAGATCCCCCCAAACACTCAGAACAAACCCCAGAACCCCCTCAAGACACCCCAGATCCCCGAAGAGAGCTCACACGAGCCGTTTGGCGAGGCGTAAAAGTACAAAAGTAAGCCTCCACAATTTTAGTTGCACCTTCCGAAGTCACTACACACCGTCAAAGCATTACCTGCCACTCTGTGAGCCGCCCCGTACTGTTTTGCTATGGACGTAGATGAGAAGGACGCCAAACTTGCCGAGGTCCAGGCGCAACTGTCCCAACTCCTGGCCGTGGTCGAGGAGGAACGCAAGGTCCGGAAGGAGACGGAGGAGTGTTTGGCCAGGAAGGAGGCCCAATTGACAAAGGCCCTGAGGACCGCGGAAATTAAGCGCCAAGGACCAGCCCCGCCGGCCCAAAGGCCCGAAGATCGGCGTCCCTGACAAGTTCGATGGCACCCGTGGAGCTAAAGCGGAGGTTTTCATCAACCAGGTAAACCTCTATGTCCTGGCCAACGGACACCTCTTTGGCACCGACCGCGCCATCATGGTGTTTGTGTTGTCCTATCTGACTGGACCGGCTAGCTCTTGGGCCCAACCGTGGGTGAAGAAGGTGATGAGCAATACTGAAGCTATCAGTAAAGACGAATTTGACACTCAGTTCACCGCCATGTACTGCAACACCGAGAAGAAGACCAAGGCGGAAGCAGCCCTACGAGCGCTCAAACAGACCAAGTCGGTTTCTCACTACACCCACCAGTTCAACCTGCACGCCCACAACACCGGCTGGGCTCCCGCCGTCCTCGTCAGCCAGTACAGACAAGGCCTGCAATCGCAAATACGCCTGATGTTGCTGATGAGTCGTACCGAATTCTCCGAACTGGCCGACATCGCCACTCTGGCCCTGCAGATCGACAATGAACTCCACGGCCTAGCACCCACTGAGACGGCCAAGACCCCGGACCCCAATGCGATGGACTTATCAGTCATGCGTGGCCGCCTTTCGGATGCGGAGAAGACCAGAATGATGCGAGCGGGCCAGTGCTTCCAATGCGGGAACCAAGGCCACATCTCGAGGGATTGCCCGGACCGTGGACAGAAGGGGAAAGGGAAGGAGAAGTCCCGGATCGCCGAACTCGAAGAAGAGGTCAAACAGTTGAAGGCAGGAGGCAGTAGAGCGGAGTCGTCAAAAAATGGAGGAGCTCAGGAATGAAGGATGTGCCTATCCTGAGCAGTGGAGAGTTGTTTGTTGTTAGCATTGGCGCCAGTGAAATTTTTTCAAGAAATCAAATTGATCCGCGTTTATTTATTTCTTTGCCCATTGTGCCACCCAAACATTCTCGAGCCACAACCCCATTGCCACTCCCTCCCGCTACTTTTCTCATTGACTCTGGAGCAACCCATGACGTGATTGGCGAGTCTTATGCCAAGTCTACGGGACTCCTTGATATTGCCAGACCCTCTCAACGTACCATCTCTGGGTTTGACGGCTCCTCAAGCCGTTCTTCCTTTGATATCCACCTGACCCTCGACACCGACCCATACCCTTCCCCATTCATCATTACTCGACTGAAAGACTCTTACGACGGGATCCTTGGAATGCCTTGGATCCTTAAGCATGGACACCTCATTGATTGGACTAACCGGAAATTCAGGAAAAACCCTCAGGATTTTGCAGCTGTCGATGCAGCTTCGTCAATTCCGAAAAAACCCTCACCTTTTGGCGTGGAGCCCGTGAGGCAAGCTAGGATTTTTGACGAGGGGGTGTGTGTCTCTGACACGTTTGCACCCCCGCAATGTGAGTTCGCTGCGGTCCCTTCCAAAATTCCTGTTGAAACAGCTGGCAAGCCTCTTCCCTTCCTAGGACATAGCACCACCGACCGGATCCCAACCACCGAAGACAGGACCATTGCAACTGCCGAGCCAGTTTTGCCAATTCCGACAAAGGCCTCATCTATTGGCGTGGAGCCCATGAGGCAAGCTAGGATTTTTGGCAAGGGGGTGTGTGTTTCTGACACGTTAACACCCCCGCAATGTGAGTTCGCTGCGGTCCCTTCCATAAATTCTGTTGAAACAGCTGGCAAGCCTCTTCCTCTCCTAGAACCTGTTCCAACCGCAGATGTCAGCGCCGCCAAAGCCTCTTGGTCGACATCGGCTCAACTCGCGGCGGACAACAAGGCCAAGACCCCTGTGAAGACGGCAGAAGAACTAGTCCCGACCCACTATCACCGGTATATCAACATGTTCCGCAAGTCCAGTGCCCAGAAACTGCCACCCAGAAGAATCTACGACTTTCGAGTAGACCTTGTGCCGGGAGCCCTTCCCCAAGCAAGTAGGATCATTCCCCTGTCACCCGCCGAAAACCAAGCACTCGACACCCTGATCACTGAAGGACTAGAGAACGGCACCATCAGACGAACCACTTCGCCCTGGGCAGCACCAGTGCTGTTCACCGGGAAGAAAGACGGCAACTTACGCCCATGTTTTGACTACCGGAAGCTCAACGCGGTTACCGTGAAGAACAAGTACCCCCTACCCCTGACAATGGACCTGGTTGATAGCCTACTTGACGCCGACACTTTCACCAAGCTTGACCTGAGAAACGCCTACGGAAACCTACGTGTAGCGGAGGGCGACAAGGAGAAGCTGGCGTTTGTCTGTCGACAAGGACAATTCGCACCGCTGACTATGCCATTTGGACCAACAGGAGCACCAGGCTACTTCTAATATTTCATGCAAGACATCCTGTTGGGACGG